CCCTCCCTCCCTCCCTCCCTCCCTCTCCAATGAAGGCTCATTCTACATAGCAAGGCTTCATGAAGAAGTTTAATCACTGCTCAAAATATACAAAACATGTTGAAAGTTTGGCAAGAAAGTCCATAAACAAATTGAAGAATAAAGATAATGGTACTCTTTGGGTCTGGCCCAGGTATAACTGGCAAATGTTTGCTCCAATTTGTAAGGAGAAATGTTGACTGCTATGGTCTCATGACCACAAATGGGAATATTTACCATTGGCAGTTACTGGTGGATAAATGTCCCATTTCTTTAAGTAGCCTGAAGTGCATCTTGACAAGATTGGCTATATCTAAGCTGGTCGCTTTATCTGTTATCTAGAAATCTGCTTAACTGGACCCAGTAGAATATATGTTCTGCCGTATATTCTCTATGAACACCAAAACAGGGCTAAAAGTCCAGAATATTTTTGAATCAAAGTGAAAGCAATTATTAAAAAAAATAGAAGTTGCCAATTTTAACTGAAGTCATTTGCTGTAGGCAACAAGTGTTGTTGTTTTTTGCCCCAGGCTCCCAGCCCCAGTGTTTTGCCCTCTTCATATTATGAAAGAGGGCACAAACCAGTGGATACCAAGCTGACTCCCTAATTTGTGATACTTTTAGCCAACATCTTCAAACTATAGTCTTTCTGATTTTCATCTGCTAGAGTAAGTCTCCTAGGAAGATTCTTTTGTAATGTTTTGATTTGGATGACCTTTTCTTCAACAATATTCCTGACCCTTCAGTTCAACTCTGAGTCACAAACTCCAGTGAAGAAGAATCAGCTATCTCCAGAGGCAGTTTTGGATTTTTTTTTTTCACTTTCAGGCAGTTGCTATTTGGCTCCTCACTAAGGATGTTGCCTTGCAAAGTTGTTGGACTCCTGCTTCCATTAACCCTCACCAGCAGGGTCAATAGTGGGCGATGATGGAAGTTGAAATTCAACAATATTTGGAGGGTCTCAACTGTTCCTAAATATGCTTCTCTGAAATCTTCCTTTTAGTGGTTCTATGCTCACGTGAATGATGCCAGGCTGTTTTTCTTGGTGCAGATGGAATCCATGTATTCCTGGGAGCAAAGAGAGGAAAAGTCTTTGTTTAGTCCTCACACTTACTGTTGCGTCCTCTTGACGCAGCCAGCAGCCAAGTCACGCCTTGCAGGACGCTGATTGGCTCTGGCGCGGCTGCCGGCCAGCGGAAGAATTGCGGTATCCCCATTGGACGGCCGCCTGACAGCTATTCGTATAAATAGCTGTCAGGCAGCGCTGTCCAGCGCGCGTGTTCTGAACTTGCTGTTCGTGTTACTGCTGTTAATAAAAGGTTCAGTTAATTACCTCAGCGCCTCCTCGTATCTAAAACCTGGCAACGAGGATGACTCAGTGCACGTCCTGGCCCTTGCTGCTGCTTCTTTCTTGCCTTTCCGTCCTGAGGCTGAGAGTTGGGATGCCTTTCTGGAAAGATTTGAAATCTTCTTCCAGGCTCACGGGCTCACCAATCTTCCTGAGGGACGAAAGAGAGGGGTTTTCCTCCATTATTGCGGGGCCGAAATGTTTGCCACCACTCGTGCCCTCTCAGCTCCTTCGCCATCACATTCGGTTCCCTTCCATGTTCTCCTGTCATGCCTCAAGGTTCACTATGAACTGACTCCCTCCCACTATGCCAGGTGTCAACATTTCCGTCGCTGTATCCAGCGGGAGGGCCAATCCATCGCCCAGTACGTGGCGGCTCTTTGCACAGCCGCCATCGACTGCGAGTTCCTTGATTTGGATGACGCGCTCTTGGAGCAATTTATCTACGGCCTCCAAGACTTGAACCTCCACCGTCGCATCCTTTCCCACTTGGAGCTGTCAATGAATATAGCCGTTGATGAGACCCGAGCTTACGAAATGGCCGGCCAGTCCATGCCGGATCTTCGCCGTTTCCCTCCTTTGGTCACAGCTTCTCTTCCTCCTGCTTCCATTCATTGCAGATGGGCCTGGATGAACCGCGGTCCGACTTCAACCTATCAGTGGATCGACTCCAGTCCCTCTCCTTCAAAGATGCCGGAGCCTGCCTTAGTTGCTGCAGCCGCCATCCACGATCCTCCTGCCGGTTCCAGGCCACACTCTGCCGCCAGTGTAGCAAGAAGGGCCACATCGCCGCTGTATGCCGCTCCCCTGCTTCAATGCCGCGGCCTGCCAGACCTCCTGCCGGGCGTCAGCCTGCATCCGTGGCTTTGTCTTCCTGGTGCTACACCGTCTTGGAGCCCGAGGGGCTCACGCCCGAATGGCTGCTTGACTCTGTGTCAACCGCTTCAGGGGGCTGGGGTAAGATGCATCTGCGCGTCTTACTAGCCGGCGGCCCCTGCATCATGGAGCTCGACACCGGCTCCTCGAGATCCATCATCTCCTGGGACACGCTTAAAAAACTCTTTCCCCGCTTCAAGCGGGATCGACTTTCTTCTGCCCCTTGCCATCTCAGGAACTATCAGGGGACTCCCATTCCTGTCCTCGGGTGCCTCACCTTGCCGGTCCAGTATGGGCGGTTCCAGAGTCCCTTGCCCCTCATCGTGGTCAGGAATTCCTTGACATCTCTCCTGGGGCTGGACTGGTTCCGTGCCTTTGGCCTGTCCATCCCCGGCGTTAATTCCCTCAGGCTGGCCTCTGATCTGGATCTGCTAATTTCAGAATTCGCTGATGTTTTCAGCGATACCTTGGGCCGTTATAAAGGCACTCCCATCTCCCTGAGCTTGGATCCCCTGGTGGTACCCATTCGACTAAAAGCTCGCAGGGTGCCTTTGGCACTGCGGGCTAAAGTCGACGCTGAGCTGGATAAGCTCATCTCCCAGGGCATTCTAGAGCCAGTGGATCATGCCCCTGGGAGACCCCTATTGTCCTGCCCCTGAAGTCAGCCGTCTCCCTGAGGGTCTGCGCTGACTACAAAAACACAGTCAACAAGGTGCTTCAGGCCCACCTCTACCCAGTGCCTGTTGTCCAGCATGTGCTGCATTCCTTGGGCCAGGGCAAGATTTTTGCCAAATTGGACCTGGCCCAAGCATATCAGCAGCTGCTGGTGGACGATGCCACTGCCACTGCCCAGACCATAGTCATGCACCAGGGGGCGTTTTGCTGTAAACACCTCCAATTTGGCATCAGCGTGGCCCCCAGTCTTTTCCAGGAACTCATGGAGCGCCTGCTCCATGGCATCCCTGGTGTGACGCCATATTTTGATGATGTCCTGATTGCCGCTCCAGACTAATCAGGACTCATCTCCACCCTCCGGACTGTCCTCTCCCATTTCCGCGCCTCAGGTCTACACCTGAAGCGCTCCAAGTGTCAACTGGGGGTTCCCTCCATTGACTTCCTGGGCTTCCGCGTGGATGCCCATGGCATCCACCCCTCTCCCGCCAAAGTGGAGGCCATCACCAACGCCCCCACTCCCTCCAACAAGGCGGAGCTTCAAGCCTTTTGGGGGCTGCTTAACTTCTATGCTGCCTTTATACCGCATAAGGCATCGGTGGCAGAGCCCCTTCACCGCTTGTTGGATTCCTCTGCACCCTGGACCTGGACCAGCTGCGAGGCGCATGTGCTCACGGCTGTCAAACGCCTCTTGACAGCTGCCCCTGTGCTCACACAGTACAACGAGCACTTGCCCCTCCTTTTAGCCTGTGACGCCTCCCCTTATGGTGTGGGTGCTGTCCTGAGACATTCATTCCCTAATGGCTCAGAAGCACCCATCGCCTTCTATTTGCGTACCTTGTCCAGGATGAAAGGAATTACAGCCACCTGGACAAGGAGACTCTGGCAGCCATAGATGGGGTGAAGAGGTTTCATCACTACCTCTACGGCTGCCCGTTCACCCTCCTCATGGACCATAAGCCCCTCCTCGGCATCTTAGCGAGGGATCGCGCCACCGCCCCCCATCTTGTCACCCCACATGTCCCGCTGGTCCAAATTCCTCTCCGCTTATTCCTACCGGCTGCACTACCAGCCGGGTAAGCATATGGGCCACGCGGACACCTTGAGCCACTGTCTGCTGCTCGCCCAGGTTTCCGACCTGGTCCTGTCTGTGGCCTCCGCCGTCTTCCTTGTAGACGACCTGGAGCTGCCACTCTCCACTTCCGATATCACCCAGGCCACCTCCTCCAATCCCCTCCTTCATCACGTTTTGAATGCCGTTCGCTGGGGCTGGACGGTGGATTCTTGGGCTCCCAAGTTCCTGCCTTTCCTTTGCCGCTGCACCAAACTTTCCATCCTCCAGGGATGCCTCCTTTGGGGCTCCCGGGTGGTCATCCCACCTACCCTGCACCAGCTTGTCCTGCGTCGCCTCCTGGGTCACCCAGGCATGAAGTCCGCATGAAGGCCCTGGGCCGCGGTTATGTCTGGTGGCCCTCCATGGACGCTGACATTGCTAGCCACCCTGCCAAGCTGTACGACCCGCCCCACCCACCTCTCCTTCCTGGGAGTGGGAAACACCCTCCGCTCCCTGGAGCCACCTCCATGCGGACTTCTTTGGTCCAGTTGATGGGCACACCTTCCTTCTTATAGTGGACACCCTCTCCAAGTGGGTGGAGGTCATACCTATGCGCTCTATAACATCTGCCGCCACCATCCACGCTCTCGAGTGCCTTTTCTTGACCCACGGGTTACCGGACATCTTGGTGACTGACAACGGCCCCCAATTTGCCTCCGCCGAATTCTGCCTCTACCTGGCCAGCCTGGGGGTTCGCCATGCCCCGGTGGCCCCCTACCACCCCGCAAGCAATGGAATGGCTGAGCGCGCTGTTCGCTCTGCCAAGGAAAGCCTGGCCCGTCTCAGTCACCTACCCTGGCCGGCCCGGCTCTGTACCTACCTACAAGCACAACACTCCACCCCATGCTCCACCACTGGCAAGTCTCCCGCTGAAATCCTAATGGGCCGGCGGCTCCACACCACCCTGGACTGGCTACATCCCCACTTCGCTCCCCTGTCTATGCCCCAACCGGACGGCCCACGGACCTTCTTAGTGGGGGAGGAGGTATATGCCCAGAACTATTCGGGTGAACCGAAGTGGGTACCAGCCATGATACAAGCACTAACGGGGCCCTGTTCCTACAGGGTCCAAATTGGCGATGGACGAGTTTGGCGATGCCATATAGACCAGTTACGGCGCCACGCAACCGCCCAGCCGGCCGGACCACAGGCCCACGCAGCTCCGGCTGCTCCGCCCAACACTGGCCTCCAGCCGCAACCACTGCAACGCAACCAGCCAGGCTACCCGCCACCGACTACCACCGCCGCCGTGAACTTATCTTTAAATTCCGGCATGAGGCAAGGGGCTGGGCCTCCGATTCTGCTCTGCCACTCCAACAGGGCTCCTCCTCCATCTCCGACGTCTTCTGCGACCACAACCGAACTGAGGCAGTCCCAGCGCCTGCGTAGTCGGCCAAAATACCTGAACGACTACGCATGCGCTATCCGGGGGGAAGGGGTGTTGCGTCCTCTTGACGCAGCCAGCAGCCAAGTCACGCCTTGCAGGAAGCTGATTGGCTCTGGTGCGGCTGCCAGCCGGCGGGAGAATTGCGGTATCCCCATTGGACGGCCGCCTGACAGCTATTCGTATAAATAGCTGTCAGGCGGCGCTGTCCAGCGCGCATGTTCTGAACTTGCTGTTCATGTTACTGCTGTTAATAAAAGGTTCAGTTATTTACCTCAGCGCCTCCTCGTATCTAAAACTTACAAATGACAGCCAGCAACAGCCAGGCCGCGCCTGATTGGCTCCGGCATGGCATGGCTAAGTGCGGGCTGTCAGACGCACTGCTATTGGCCTCCCTGCTTGACAGCTCCATATAAATAGCAGTCAAGCAGGGGGTAGGTCCCTGTCTACTGCTAGCTTGCGTGTTGAACTATTCTATAATAAAGGTTGCTGTTGACTTACCTCAGGCACCTCCTGCCTCTTTCCTTCAGGGAACTTATCAGTCTTAGCGCTCAAATGAAGCTGCTGGTCAGAGACCAGAAGGTCAATTTCTTGTTTCAGAACATTACGGTAATTGAAGGATACGATAATTGAAAGACCTAAAGAGCTGATAAGGCAAACTGGAACTTCTTAAGGCCAGACTAAATTGTGGCTTTCAAAGGGCAATAGACAAGAAAATTGGTGGAAATATACAAAATCACCCATGCTGTTGACCTCCTAACTCCACCCCATCCTAACACAATGCTTGATGGAAGAGCCAGATCTTCAGGGATTTCTCAAAAACTAAAAGGGTAGGAAACCCTAAAATCTCAAATTAGAGATATTCCAAAGACTGTGGTGGCCTCAGAAAAAGTACGCCTCCAAGTTCCCCACTGATGATAACATTTGAGGGAAGGAACATGGAGTGTGCCCAAATCTAGTGAGACAGGTAGATACCCTCAGGAAAGATGGTTCCACAAATAACTATGTAGGTCTTTTAAGAGTGATAACTCTTGAATTATACCCATTAAAAAGTGAAAGCCAGTGCAATTCTGGAAATAACGGTGTTACACAAGCAAATGTACCCAGAACTACATGCATGCTGCATTCCAGACCAGCAAGGACATTCCCATGTAGAATACAGCTTTTTATTAGAACACTTGCATCTTTAGAAGTGGTGAAAGTTTTTGAATTATCATTTTTGTTTAGATTTCTATATCAGAACATTTCTATAGCTGTTTGTCTTGGTACTGCAAGAGAAGATTCTTCTTCACTTAGTCTTTTACCATGGGTTGGGGTATTTTATCCTCAACTTTCAAAAGTTCATTTAGTGACCGTTCAAAGTTACAACAGCACTGAAAAATGTCACTTTCGCCTGTTTTTCACACTTATGATCATTGCAACATCCCCATGGTCACATGATCAAAATTCAGATGCTTGGCAACTGGTTCATATTTATGACCTTTCCTATGTCCCAGGGTCAAGTGATCACCTTTTATGACCTTCTGACCAGTAAAGTCATTGAGGAAGCCAGATTCACTTAACAACCAGGTTACTAATGTATCAACTGTAGTGATTCATTTAACAACTGTGGGAAGAAATGTTATAAAATGGGGCAAAACTCACATAACAAATGTCTCACTTAACAACATAAATTTTGGGCACCATTGTGGTTGTAGGTTGAGGACTACCTATACTATTTCAGATTTCCTGGTGATGGGGCAGTCCAAAACCATCCAAAAATTAGTTACCTCTTCCTAAGTGTATTACTTAGCCAATTCAAGTATAAATTATACAATTATAATGTACAATGCACAATTAATATAATTAATTAATATTAATATGATTAATTGATATTAATATGATTAATTGATATTAATATGATTAATTGATATTAATATGATTAATTGATATTAATATGATTAATTGATATTAATATGATTAATTGTATCTGCGGCTACTAAGATTATTGGCCATGCAGGTATAAAGATAGCCAGGGAAATGATTGAAGCCTCAGAAACAGGCTTCAATCATTAACTCGTCAATAAACAGGAGTGCTGATTTACCACTAATTTATCAGGTACTTAGGAGCCAAAGGCTTGGCAGTACAAGGAAACAGTAGCCAATCACCGGCCATCAACCAATAGGAAGGCACCACATAAATATGACTGATAGAATAGACCAAAGCACATATTTCGGTAGAGCGACATTTCCTGAAGTTTGGCTCCAGCACCAGTCCTAAAGCTCGGAAGAATAAACCTCTGGTCCAGATTGGATCGTGCAACATTATCCTGGGATACAAATATTGGCCTTCAATCTTCTTTCTCAACCTTCCTCTTTCCTCAGACTAAGATTATGTTTTTTAGAAGAGTTGGAAGGAATCTTGGTGGTCTTCTAGTCCAACTTGCTCAAATAGAAGACTCTATACCATTTTAGACAAGTGTGCTGTCCAGTCTCTTTTTAAAAACTTTCAGTGATGGAGCACCTACAACTTCTGAAGGCAAGCTGTTCCACTGTTTACTATATTTTTCAGAGTATAAAACACACCTTTTTCCCTCAAAAGAGAGGCTGAAAATCTGAGTGCATCTTATACACTGAATACAGCAATTTTTGCCTCCTGAAACCCCGCCCCCTTCACCAAACTGGCCATGCATAGCCTCTAGGAAGCTTTTAGAGAGCTCCTGGGGGCTGGGGAGGGCAGAAATGAGCAAAAAACTCCCTGAAGTCTATTCATGCCTTTTTTCGGGGGGAAATGGGGCCATTTTTGCAAAAAACAGGCCATTTTGGGGAGGTTTGCAGTGTGCAAAAACTGTTTTTTATTTTCCTCTTCAAAACCTTGCTGCATCTTATACTCCGGTGCATCTTATACTCCTAAAAATACGGTAATTGTTCTCACTGTTAGGAAATTTCTCATAAGTTCTAGGTTAATTAGGAGAGAATCAAGCCCAAGCTCATGTGTTCATAATAGTCGCCAAGCTCAAGTCTTCATAATAGCCGCCATCTATCTTCCTCAAGATCATCTCCATGGTCCTGTGAAAGGACAGGAAGTTGTTTCGTTTCCATAGTATAAGACCCGCTTGTGATTCTGGGATTTTGAGTTGCTTTATGGACCTTTGTCTGCTAAATCTTTCATTTCATCCACTGTTGATTCATGGCCATATTCCTTCTATTCCTTAAAAGCTCCAAATAAAAAAGCAAGGACTGTAGCTGAAATAAATGCTTGGTTAAATATTTTAGTAAGGTAATTTCCAGACCCTTTTGGTTTGGATGGAAATGTACTTAGTTCGCATAGTGGAAAACAAAGAAACTCTAGTGTAACAAATCAAGTGAATGGTAGCTTGAAGAGCCAATTTATACAATTTAAACAACTATAATTGCTGTTTTATCTCTCCTGAGATTCATTTGCAAAATGAATTTGGATTTGGTTGGTGAAGGTTTTGCAAGAATACTGGAGAAAGCTAAAATAGGATGATTAGAAGTGAAAAGAAGGAAGAAATGGAAGGAAAGAAGAAATGGAGTTTTCAGCAAGGAGAGGCTGTTTTGAAGGAGTGTGTTTGTTTTTAAGTTTTGGCAAATGCCTGAACAAATTCCTGTGGTTTTCTTGGCAAGATTTCAGGTAAGGTTTACCTGCCCTTAACCTGTTCCCTAGATCTGAGAGAGACTGACTTGCCAAAGGCCACCCAAATGGCTTTATGCCTAAAATAGGACTAGAACTCCCAATCTCCCAGTTTCTAGATTGGTACCTTAACAACAGCATCAAGCTGGCTTCATGTATGTTTGTGTGTGTATGTGTGTGCATGTGGTTTATTTATTTATTTAACCATATTCATATGGTACTCAGTTGCCAAAAAATTACATATTACACTAAACAGTGTTTTGTATGTTGTAAACATAAACAGACATTATAGCTTGGTGTGTTCTTGGTGTGTGAGGTCAGATATATGCTTTCATTGGATGTTTAGTATATTGTTGTGTTTTTTCCTGTTGTCTACTGATGCAAAAGCTCAGCAAAGGATTTCGAGCCTGTAGTCACATTTTGAGATCTTTCCAAATGAGATGGGGAATTGGTACCCCCACCAGAGGCTATTGATCTACAACTTCCCTCAGCATTAGTCACTGCTATAAATACTAGATCTGTTTCAATCAGATGACATGTCTAGATTTGAAAAAGTCATCTCTCCTGATGAGTTATACCCTGCAAGAACTGGATCAATGAAAGGGATGGAACCTTGCCAATCTCAAGGTCTTCTAGCAACTTTTTAAGCTTTTAGTCATAATGATCAGCAGAATTGGCTTCATGAGAGCAGATTTCAGAAAATTCCTATCCTAACATTTATAAGAAACAGGCTTTTTAGCATCTCTAGGAATAAGGTCTAGTCATGGTTAACCTTGTAGGGTAAGATACATCCTAAACAAAGGAATTTTCAGTGGCAGATCTCTTTCAGCAAAATAACATCTCAGTTTTGGGACAGTTGTTTCTTCTTCCCACGACATTTCTTCATCTTAGCAACTTCCTTTGATGCTGGGTTTCTGGGGAGCAATAGAGGTACTAGGGATCCAGTGGTGTGATTCAAATTTTTTTACTACTGGTTCTGTGGGTGTGGCTTGGTGGGCATGGCATGGCTTGGTGGTGTGGCTTGGGGGAAGGATACTGTAAAATCCCTATTCCCTATCCATTCCAGGAGAAGGTTACTGCAAAATCCCCATTCCCTCCTGATCAGCTGAGACTCAGGAGGCAGAGAATGGATGGAGGCAGGGCCAGCAGAGGTGGTATTTACTGGTTCTCTGAACTACTCAAAATTTCCACTACCAGTTCTCCAGAACTGGTCAGAACCTGATGAATACCACCTCTGTAGGTATTCTGAGGTAAAAAGGAAAAAAATTGTTCTGAAATGAGGAAATTGGAAGAAGATGCCAGGAAAGAAAAGAGAAAAGAATCCAATACCGTTGCCTCATGGCTAGAGAGACCCACTACAAAATATATTTGCAAAACCATACTAAAAAGCATGTTCCACATTTGCTAAAATGGCCTGGTGGGTTTTAGCACATCGATTTTCCTCTTTTAGATTAAATCCTTACAGAAATGATGTATAAAAATAGAAGTCAATGAGCCAAATTGTCTCCACATCGACAAATCATCATTTGCTCTGAAGAGAGTGGATTC